TTCAATTCCTGTTTAAGCATTTGGTTTAACGTTTGGCTTCCCACAATTTTGTGGACCTTGCATACTCTCATACATGTAAGGGACAGAAGAAAAGACTTCCCTTCTGCAGTGGTTCCACGATGCTAGGACATCACTCTGCTTTCAGTCTGTCCTTTATATTTTCTTCATTGTTCTTAAAAATCTCTTCAAAAGAAGTTGAAATTGACTATTCCCAACAGATTTATCTTCCAAATTCAAATTCTGTACTTTGTGTTGTTTTTTTCCCCAGGACACAAAATATGTGTACAAAGACTCACAGTGAAACGATCGACAGGTTCATTGATTATATAGTAAATCTCTTAACTACAAGCCAGGATTTCCTCCGTAAGGAAATGAAAGTCATAAGGTCCAGAACAAGACACATATCTGATACCCTCCGTAGATATTGCAAGAAAATAATCTTGTGTTTGTTGATTTCTTAGTTTTCTATGTATGCGAGGCTCCTTTTTTGTTCTTGCCCACATTGTGAGACAGGGTACCGATCTGATTCAGATAACGCTGTGTGTTTCAGGCCCCATTGCTGCTTGGCGATGTGGTCATCTTCTTCAGCCCGGAAGAGTGGGCTGTGTTGAGTGTTGCTCAGAAGAAACTCTATAGGGATGTGATGATGGAAATCTTGGAAAACTTGGACTTCATAGGTAAAATTAAGATTTGATATGCTTACAGATCCTTGCAATGAAAAGACAATGAATTCATGCTGGTGACTTTTGAACTTTGGCAGAAGAATTGGAATACAAGGTTCAGTGAAGCAGCCATGGCCACCTAGCTTTTAGCGCTCAGCAAATTGACTTTTTCATGGAAGCCTTTGTATCTAAGAGCACCTTTTCTCTTCTATGAATCAGTACATTTACATCTCTAACTATCCTGAGTGTACACTCTTAACTTTTATGGGTCAGGATTTAAGGCCTAGTCTTTATGGCCATGGGGTCTAACACTCATTTATTGCTCCTCTGTTGTTGTTGTTTGTTGCTGTTGTTGTTTTGGTGTTATTTTGAATTGGATCCAACAGGCACAGGAGGAAACTGCCCCTCCTTCTCCAGCGAAGCATCTGGTGGATTCGCACCACATGCCTTTGGCCTTGCACCTTCTTGCCAATATTCCACGTGAGTTCTCGAGGGTTCCTGCGTTGAGAAGCTTTATGAAGTTGTTACTATGCTAATGATCTTTTGAATATCGAGAAA